AGGGTTTTAGACTATTAGAGGCTAATATACTCTATATAATATAGCCTCGGCCGGTCCTTATATATAGGTCGTTAAGACGGCTTCTTCTTACCTATACTTTATATAGTATACTTTTCCTTTATATTATCTAGGTCTTATCGGTTAAAGCCTTAGTATACCCCTTAACGCTCGCCTACTAAATTTTAAATCTATATCTTATACGTATTATAAATAGGTCTAACTCCTTCTCCTTAAATATAGCTTCGCGCGTTCTATTTATCTTAAAACCCTCTATATCTTACTAGACCGCCTTTTAAAGTTTCCTCTTCTCTTCTTATCGTATTTTCCTCTATACGTATCTTATAGACCTCTTTTATATAAGCTCTTTATTTTAACCTACCGCTAACGCTATATTACGTCTTTATTTAGGATCCTATAACTTCTCTTATACGCTACGGCTACTAGCCCTTCCCTACTACGCTAAACTCTTAAGACGGTATATAGGTAGGGAGCACTCCTACCCCTCCTCCTCGCCGCTTCTAGCTTCGCTCCGGCAACGTTATTCTTCTACTACACGGCCTCGCTATATCTTTATCTCCGTCGGCGGATAGCTTTGCCCCGTACCTCCGTAAGCCCCTTAGCATTAGCAAAGGTACGGGCGGCAATATATCTATAATATTCTTCGCCTAGCCCGACTGCCCCGCGAGGTTCGCCTATTAGGACGAGCACCGTATTAGGGGCCTTAACGCCGAGGCTATCGCCCGCGTCCTCCTACTAGTGCCCTCGTAGCTACTAGAGTTAGAGTACGCACCTATCTAGGCCGAGGGCGACGACCTAGGGCCCTCTCTCTTTTTTAGCCTAAACCTCTCTATCTACGGCTAGCTAGTTATCGATACGGACTAGTCCGAGCAGTAGTTCTTTATAAGCGGCCGCGTTTACCCCTACGCTCTCTCCTAGGAGGTAGACCGCCGCGATAGCCTCGAGGCCGGCCTAGACGATACTATTCTCTATACCGTGCCCGCCCTTATCGTCCGCGACTAAGGTTACTAGCCGTGCCCCCCCCTCCCTTTTTTATTTTAATGCGCCTCCTTACCTACCGCCCCGCTAACTTTATCCCCTAGCGTCCTACCGCGCTTCTTAGCCTCTAGTAGCTAGTTCCCGTCTACGCCTCCCGTTGTCTCCTTCTATAGCGTAGTAGCTAGGCCTAGCCTCGACCTCCTACGTCTAGACTTCCTACCCGGTCTCGGGCCCGACTAGCTCCGCTACTACGGCTTCGTCTAGCTTACGACCTATATCGCCCCTAGCCTACCGGATAGGATTCCCTTTAAGGGCTAATACCCCTTTAAGGTCTTTATTATCTTTCCTATCTACGTTAACCCTTAGGCTATACTATATAAGAAAATCGCTAAAAAGCCTAACTCTTCCTTCCTACCTAGCGTCCCCTTTACCTATACCGGAAAGGTCGTCGGCCCTTCTCGACCACCGCGTTATGCTCTATCCCCCGGGCTTAGAGCGCGATTACGTTTTTATCGTCGTCCTAGATAGCTAGACCTTTATCGATAGACCCTCGGCCGCCGCCGCCGCCTTAGCCTCCCCCCTTTAGGCGTTAGACCTAATCCGCCTCCTCTACCTTCGATTCCGTCCGTGCCGCTATATACTCTGTTGCCGCGCCGGCCTCGACCGTGCCGCCCCCCCTTTCCTCGGCCCCGGCCCCGCTAGCCCTCGACCCCGTCACGCCTCCGCCTAAGCGATCGCCCCCGGCCCTTGCCGATACGCCTATAAAGAGGGCGCGCTTCTTGCAGTAGCAGTATTCGCCGCTTTCCTAATCTTCGAACACCGTCGGCTCCGCCGCCCCCTCCTCCTCTCCTCTACCGGCCGTTTTTCTATCTCAACCGGACGGCGCCCTACCCGTTCCCGCTCCGACGGCCAGCCCGGATTCCCCTCTTAATTCTATCGTCGCGAGCACCTCCGACCCGCCCGCACGCCCTCTTCGCTATCGTATATAGAAATAAGCTACCTACTATAGACCTATCGCTCTCTTACGCCTCCTACCTTTACTAAAACGAACTATTCTCCCTCCTAGGGTGCTGCTCCTAACGTAAATTATCGCTATAGAATTACTATTACTCTATACGTTATAGCGTTTATCTCTTTTAAGGATAGCTTTAGCTTCCGAACCCGTTTCTTACGAAAGTGCCTGCCTCTAGACGTTCTCCGTGACCTCGTTTATGTCCTATGCGTTGCGCTTCGCCCCTTCTCTTTTCCTTGCTAGCTTGCCGCCGCACCTCTCGGCTATATTTAGCGGCGACGGGGGGCCTATAGTTACGCCCCGGTAAAAGGCGTCTTTATTGCGGAAGCCGACTCCGCTTCTCGCCTATCGGTTATTGCTCTATATAGAGGATACGGTTGTCTACTATAAAATCTTATATACCGTTCCTTAGTTATATAAGCTATAGGGACGACGGTCGTTAAAGTCGGCGGGTTCTATAAAGGCTATTGCGGCGTTTAAGGCTAGCTATAAGCCCGCCTCTACGGCGTTGCTTGCTTCCTCTCGCTAGCTCCCTAGCTTGCCTTAGGCTTATATCCCTTCTTATATACCTTCTAGTCCTCCTTTTAGTGTTGCCTGCTATAGTACGCCACCGTTAGGCATCGGCTGCACCTCCTCGCCCCCGCTATCTCTCTATAAACCCGGCAGACCTTCCCCTCTATGCTCTACGTATCTTGCCCTTATATTTACGTCGCGCCCTTATTTCCGCCCGCCTACCCCGCCTCTGCTATCGTGTCCTATATTTCCTGCCTTATCTTTATTTCGCATCCTTCTTTGCCGCAGAACGACGACACGACCACGAGCACAAACGGCCTCTCTACGTATAGGTACGATATCGGGCTCTATAGAATATCCTTTACGAGTCCGCCGTAGCTCTCGTAGCGCACCCCTACTACTTTCCGACACGCTGCCTCGTGCTCCCGTAGGATCGGCCTTATCTACTATAGGAATAGTGCACTAGCTGCGTGGTTCGGCCTCGCCTGGCCTACCTACGTTACGAGCGTCTTCGGGATGCTATGCTTATACTTAAGCTCCGTGGCCCCGAATTTACACTAAAACTCCACGGAAACGTTATAAGTAGCCATGCTGTAGTTGTTTTCCTAACTGCTTGATCGGTAGCTATGGTAGACGCTTCTGCTCTTGTTCTCCTATTTGTGCCTTGGTGCTCCTCTTATGCTCCCTTCCTCTCGCTTACCCCGCAACCGTTATCACCGCTTTACTTGCCTTCTTGCTTTTTCTGCCTCTTCCCCGCTGCGGGATGGTGCCCGAATGGCCGCTTTCTTTACCTACCTTTTTTATATGTTTTAGTTCCTAGCGCTACCGCCTGCTTGCGTTCTTTCTCTCGCCCTGTCTTTGTCTTGTTTATCTCTCTAATCTTTAGCCTTCGTTCCTTAAGGCTCTTTGCGTATCCTATAAGGGGTTGCCTTACCCGTGAATAAAGTCGAATAGTTGTAGTTTGAGGTCTGCGACGTATGTGAAGGTACGAGCTGCAATAAGCTGTCTCCTCCCCTTTTTCTTCCGCAGGGATGGCTCAGTTGCCTAGTCATATCAGAGGATCACGGCAGACACGGCTCGATTTAATTATAGCTGATTGGCTATATATAGATTACCGCAATAATACGAGGCAATATAACTTTTCCTACTCCGTATAGTTACGAAGGGTCGCTTACTAGACGGGGCTGCCATGTTGACTCTTACCTTTCTAAATTATTACCCTGCGAGAGATATAGCCATCTCCGGCCGTCGTTAGCGTCAGCGATTTCTCGCTCGGATCAGCGTCTTATCTCACAGGGAATAAAAGTAGAGGGTAAGAGTCAAAAATATACATTGTCGTCTATCTAAAAATAAATATAAGAAGTTCTATCTTCTTAGTCCTAAGGGAATGTGACTGCCTTGCGGTGGCGAATTTACCACTTACTACCCACGGTGCTTTTGTAATATTATCTAGAAAGTTCGATAATATCGCTTATTAACCGCGCATTTCATTATACGTATCCTGAATGCAATACCTTCCGCTTAAGCGCCTTCTCTATATCTAACAAGCTTTATTATATTAAGATTATATTGCACTTCTTGCGTCTCTTTGCACGTCGACACTTAGTCGGAGAATAGGTAGTTAGGCATGCATAGATCACTATTTATCGTCTCGCGGACTGCAATAAGAAAAGGGGAAGTAAGGATGGTATTAAGTCCTCTAAAGCGAACCCACTGAATGACTACCGTATGGTCCGTACCCCTTATGACAGTGGTACTTCTGCCGGTGTCGATCTTGCATCTGCATGTGGACCTAAGAACTTCGAGGGCGGCATCTCGAGGGCGGCATTATTTTCCCTCGCTGTTCAAACACTCATCTTTCGATATTGTTTGAACCTCGTTAACCGGTGTTGTGGTTGGTAAGGGATTTATTTTGCCGATGCGAATTAAGAGGCGGTATATGTCTAGATCGCTAAGCTGCGCCGCTACCTGCAATAGTTCTTGCTAGTCGAACACGAAACGATCATTCTCGTCGACACTACCTTCTAAAAGCAATATCCTTGCCGATTCGTATCGATCCCGTGAGTTTAAGGAGCTCTTAATGATCCGTAATAAGGCCGTTTGGTTCCGCTTGTTTGTCTGGTATACACCGTCCTTAAAACGAGGTACCAAATATTGAAATATCGCGGGATTGCAACGTCTGGATGCGAGGTATAGCACATTCTCGCCTTGTAAGTCGCGATATCGAAGGTGGGCCTCGATGCCTTATTGTCCCAATAAATACTCTATAAGTCCCTGCACATAGAAATGGGCACCCCCCTGTTTTGGGCACCCCAAAAAAATCACGACCATTTTCAACACCATTAATTCAATCCCTTCTCACTGCCCACCACCGTGCACTACGATACAATCGTCACCTATTTCTGAAACCTCAGCTTCGGTTTCATCAGATTCTTCATTCTCAGCTGCGTTCACCTCCTCCTGCGCCCGTCGTATTGCCTCAATATTGGCGAACCTCGAATTCGGGCTCGTGACCACCCTCTTCCTTTTTTTTCGGCTTGACGGCCGCCAATTGTGTTTCCAGTGCCTGAATCTGCAATTGAGCTTTTGCTAAAAGGCCATCCTTCTCGTCAAACCCTTTTGTGATCTTCCTGAACAGCAATCTCTTCGTGGGCACGTCGTCGTCTAGCTGGTTGAATTGAACTACCTGAACCTTCAGATCTTGCGAGCGCCTCGGGGTCGACCACGCAATCTGGGATGTGTCTGATTGCCAGTCACTGGTGGGTAAGTGGCTATTGAATGCATTGGCCACATTTTTCGCGTTCTTTTTGCGTCTGTTGCTGTTCTCCAGCAGAAGAGGGCTCAAAGTGGCTTCGCCATCGACACCGGCCACAAACCCGTCGCTTTCCAGCCACCCTTGATGTTTGACACAGTGAGCGCTTGCTCGCGTGCTTTCTGGTAGCAGGAAAGAAAGTTTTGCTTGCCGACTGGGCTTGAATCGGTCAGGAGGCTGAGAAATCCGACCTGTTTGCGGTAGTAGTGCTTAAGAGCGGAAGACAGACAAATCGAGCGGTTGCAACACATGAGAGGTATGGGAGGTAAGAAAGAAGGTGAATCTGATGCTGGTAGCATAGATACATGAAGTCAACCGTCTCGTGACTTCCGTGGCCGTCAATACTAGCAGTCTTCGCTCCGAAGGGTCGGGTGGCTGGGTTCTTGGAATGAACACCTTTCGAGCCACTCCACCGCAGTTTGGTCCGAAGTCCAGCCGTTCTTTGTCGCAGTGAATTGCCAGTCACTAAAAGTACTGAGATCTTCTGGGAACCACTGTTGCTGGACCGATTTGCCCTTGAAAATGACGAGTGGAGGAGGAAGGTGCCGGCAGCGGACACGCACTCGATGAACGACGTCCAGACCCGAGAACCAGGCGTCTTCTTTTGTACAGATCGTTTTCAGCACTGCCAACGACCAGGCCATTCTCCCCAAGTCCTTCCATGATGCCTGCTTCATCCATGTTGTACCTGTTCTCCGGCTTAATAGCCAGAATCTCGGAAGGAAGAAATTGTTGAACCAAGGCCGAATTACCTCGGTAGAAGCGCCGTTGACACGCTCAGAGTCTCTGTGATGGCACTTCTGGGTCGAACTGCAGGATTTCGTCTTAAAAATGCTTGCATCCAGTGTTTTCCGAGCGGTGTGTGGTCTCCTTTGACGGCGAGCATGCGCTGCGCGAACTGCCTGATCTGCGAGTGAGTGGGAGGAAGGCCCAAGGCGTCCTGAATGAGAATCCATTCGGTAAGTTGCTTTTCCTGTGTCTGAAAGCCTCTGAAGAGCAGAAAATGCATCCTTTCTGCATTCGTGACCATGCATGCGATTGTAAAGAGTTGCCCTCAGGACGCCCCAATCGCGAGCAGCCTTCTTGGCGGATCCGCCATTGGCGATTGCCTCAAGGGCGCTGTGAATGTCAGACTCTGTATATTTCATCAGTAGTGGCTTGAAGACACATGCGTCAATTTTTTAGCAGATTGGATGCGTTTCCGCGGTGAAATTTGCTGTTGAAGTTGACGCAGCCGTTTAGGTTGGGCACCCATCTTGGGTGCCCAAAACAGGGGGGTGCCCATTTCTATGTGCAGGGACTTAACATCGACGTGGTTCCCTAAGACGGCGTCTCTAATTAGTCGATGTTTAGGCCCGTCTAGCAGCTCGGCCCTTAGCTCTACCATGTGCTGAGCTTTGTCTATTAACCGTTGAATGATCGGCATATAACCCGTGCTAGCAGCGATACGCAAAAGCTTATTGCCCTATCGCTCCGTAACCATTATATATAACATATTATCGACGAGGTCAAAGACATCGTCCCAGCCTTGGCGATGTCTATTAGAAAGACTACTAGACTATTGTTTTACGGCGAGTCGAAAAAAGCCGAGGTTTCGAACTTAATGGCCAATCTTGCTTCGCAGGAGCGGCTTGAGTCTCGTCAAGTCACCCCACTAGAGAACTTGATCCGCAGCCCCCATCGCCGTGTTAGGGAGGAATTTTTCTTCATTAAAATCTGAGCTCTTAAGCATACCGTGTAGCATCGATTCCGAGCCGTAGAGTAAAGTGATGCTAAGGGGATCGTAGAGGCTGCTATTAAACACGAATCTGGGCTTGATCGTGTAGTTTGGACGACAGTTCTGAGTGGTCTAATTCTACAGCCGCGTTGAGCCCGCTTGACATAGGTTTTCTATATCTCCCCGGCCCGGAAGGAGAGGTTCAGCTGATATAGCGCTAAAATGTTCAATCTAATGGCATGAGGCGTAGACAAAGAAATCACCGAAGCCGCGATTGATTGGATCGTAGCGAACTATATTTTCTTCCCATACTTCCTAGGTATAGTAGGGGTTATAATCTCTCGGTTCGTCGTCGTCGAATAAGCTGCAATCCTGAGGCAGTTCTTTAATTGCCATATGCTCGTCGGAAAATAACTCGATGCGATTAATATCATCTAAGAGAAGATATCTAATGCACACATCCAAGATGCCCGCTTCTAGGCTCATAGTACGTTGCTTAAGAGTTATATCCTTTGTTGTTGCTTGCTTTAAAACTGTCGAGCTATCCTGATAAATTCGAATTGGTGCCTATTCTCTGATAATGAAGTCCTTTACTGACTGGTGCATAAGCCTAACTTGACGCCTACCTATATCGTCGAAATTAACGTAAGAAACAAATGGCTAGATTAGACTCATGATTCTTTGATGATCTACTAGCTTGGCAAGAGCATCCACGTTGAGGTTCCTCTCTGGATTCATATCTAGAGCGACGGCCTAGGTAAGTTCTGATATACTTAAGGGCCTTCGGGAGATGGCAAGAATCTCTAGAGCTGTAGTGGCAAGTTTTAAGTTCTCGGGGTCGTTTAAGGTATATCGTGAAAAAATGTTGACGTAGAGCTCCGAGAGCTTGTTAGGTTACGGTAAATCCTCTAGAAGAGCTTGGATCGAACTAGGTGCCTTGTATCGGCGGACTCCGATGAGATTAACCGTCATTCTCGTCTATATGGCGCTCCCTTGTGCCAAATGCGATAGCGTCTTCGTAATAGTTCTCTTGACGTCCTCCGATAAATAGAATAATTGCATTTAGATAGTCTTTTCTACGATAAGTCTATCCCGCTCGGCGTCCGGATGTAGAACAATTTTAGCTATCCTATTTAATTGCTCTAGGATCTCCTCTTTAGGACGCGAGGACAGTAAAACTTTAACCCTCGGCGTATCTTGCGATAGATTTGTTAACGACTTAAGAAGACTGTTTCTGTATACTCTATCGCACTTATCTAGACTATCGATGACGATGAAAAGTTGGCGATTAAGTGTTTTGAGAGTTTGTTTGAACCAGCCTTTTAGCGTTTTAAAACTCGTCGCCGGCTCGATCCCGGAAGCAGTGGCCTACTTATACCACTCGAAAAATGGCCTCTTTAAACCAGGGAACTGTTGAAGGAGTGAGAGAGTTAAAGCAGAAAGTATGTTAATAGCTTGGCTAGTTTAGTCGTTTTGACAATAGTGGTAGCATATCTTGGGCTGGGGCAATTAATGCTCGTTTCGTCGGCGTAATTCGTCTATAAGAAAAGACATGGCAACGGTTTTGCCGCACCCTATATTGCCGAGAATTACTAGCTGCTTATACTGGCTGCCCTAATACTAATTCTCGAATCTGGTGTCTATTAGCAGAAAGTAGCAGGCCTTATCGGCTCGAATATCCTGCAACGAAGCGTGGTATTGGCTCTGCCGGTTCGTCTTCTCACTACCTAACCACCTTATAACTAAGGATTTCTTAGTATATATCTGACTTAGTTTAGCGTGTAATAGTATACTTTTATAGTCGTAGAGCATAGCTTTGATATCCTTAACGATCTCCTAAGTGGCGTTCTGCATAAGTCTCCGAAGATTGTCTGTATGTCTTAGGAAGTCTTGAATAATGTTTGGTAGACGGTCGTTCTCTACAATCAGCTTTATAACCAGCTTCACCCCCTTTCTGGATAGTATCTTAAATGCGGCGTTGTAGAATTTAAGGAGTTTCTGGTATACTAACACGAGGGCCTGCAAAGTATTAGAAATGCTTTCTATAGATACACGGGATATTACCTTATATATATCTACTTTATTTAATCTCTGACTAAGTATATCGCAATTATTAATGTAAGAGAGTTGATCTAGTATTTCCCCGATTTTCTTCGTGAATTCGATATTAGCGGTTGAAATGCTAATGGCAATCTATATGGTAGGTGAAGTTAGTGCCTCGAATGTAACGACTCTCGTAGAAACGAGAGGCATAATTTTTTTTTCGTAAAGTGAGTGTACTTACCGCTGTTACGCTTTTTACTACACTAAAAGCCATTCCAATAGGAGGTTGAATGCTCGCTAACGGAATTGCTATGTCTAATGCCAGCCTAAAACACTCTAGAGGAACCTGGATAGAATGCAGATATCTCACACCCCTTAAGAAGGCAGAATCCTATATTGTGTCTTCGTTAAGTTTTTCGAGTTGTTTAAATAGCTCTAAGGCATTGTCGCCCTTGAGAATCGCAGCGTTAATATCTTTTCCTAGGTTGTCTACTGCTTCGCGGTATGCTGTGCTCTAAAGGTCTGATATAATTTCTATTTCGATGCTAACACCAGCGATTGCGTTATTGACGTTATTGACTGAGGAATCCCCTTCGAAGCCGCTTAAGTAGGTCAGCGACAGGACATTGCCTTGATCGGCTTGGCTTTGAGCTGCGTCATCCTTAGGGACGAATGATTCCTGAGTGGCTCTCGAAGTCGGTTCTGTCTGGATATGTCCCCGAGGATGTCTAAATAAACGCCGTAATCGGTCGAGTCTCCTATAAATCTTATGCTAAAACTTTTTATTTCGGTTTGCCTAAGTCGATATCGTGTTGCTAGAGTGCTTCCGTTTCCGAGGTGCGATGATTCCGTCGCCTTATTCAAGTGTAGAACCTCGAATGAATTAAATACTACATGCCTTAAGCCTAGAGGGAAGTGTCTGGATTTTGGAGGATTGTCGAAGCCAGTGCAGCTGGATAGGTGATGCTACTGCGCTATTTAACTACTCTTTAAAATCCCCTAATTTAGTGGAAGCCTGGAAGCCTCGGTTTAAGACTAATAGATATGGTCGGATAACCGCCGGGAAGAGCACCTGCCTGTAGGAGAAATGAACGACGAGATCGTGCCGGCTTTTGATTGGTGGAGCAGGTGCCGGGCTGTAAGCGGTCCGCCAGTCAAAATAAGGAAGCCCTCCGTCCCTTTAAGAGGGGCGGGAGGGGAGGAGCAAAGAAAAGGCGATAATAGATTAGGCCTACTTTTTGAACCCCACCATATTGCTGATATGCCTTTTGTCTTAAGTACCTCGCATCCCTTTGAGTGTGCGAACGCCGCACCTAGGTTACGAGATCTAGAGCTACGTAGCGACTTGTTAGATACGCCGTTAAAAGATGGGATGTAACTAGTGCAATATAGCTGCCGTCACGAGTAGTGAGCCACTACCCCTACATAAATCCAACCGTCCTTAATTCCTATCGTCGTAGAATATACTAAAAATAGATAATTAATTAAATAGTTATATAAATAGAGTCCTTAATTCCCGTGCATAATCGGATATTATGCCTAGGCAATTTATACCTACTACGGAGCCGTTATATGCCGGTTTTCTCGGTCGCGCTAGACTATACCCCTGACCCCTCGCCGTTACCCGCCTTCTCCTCTGCAAGCCGAGGACCTTTCTCTATAACTAAAACACCCCTATAAGCTACGCATAAGCGGCCTAATATCCCTCTTTCTTCCTCTGCCTTTAGATTTCGCTTCGGAGTCGCTCGTTTTCATCCGATAGAAGGGCTGCGCCGTGCATCGCTATTTAGCCGAACTCGGCTAAGTGACGCACTGCCTGATCGGCTAGGCTGGCCTGTTTATGCGCTGCCCTCGTACGATGTTGCAGAATCGCCTTGACTTAAACCTCAAGTTCCATGATACTATGAGGCGTTTTGGGCAACAGTTGACTTACTAAGCCTTAGGGATCGAGGGTTGTTGGTTGAAGTAGAGGACTCGATGTCCTTATATTCTGTCTGGAAAGGACCTTCTATAGATCGTACGGGATATCTCCGACGGCCTTAAAATGCATTCTTAATTTCTTATCTATAATCGTTATCTAATAGGCTTCGTGATAGAGATCTGAGAATGCCTGTTTTATCGATGTAAACAGTCCCTAGTTCCACCTTCTAGACAAGCCGTCCATGCGAGTGCTTGAGTGCTGAAATGCACTTAAAGTCGAGAGCTTCTAAACGATGCGTTAAATGTAGTAGATAGCAAAGCCTAGATAA